CTCAAAATCTAAAGACTAACACCCCCAATAAGGACCATTGCTTGGAACAAAGGTAAAAGCTCAGGCTGACAAGCATGGGAATGTGGGTTCAAGTTCAAGAGCAGCCACTTCGTGCAATAAATGCCCAGGAACCTGGATGGCTGGAACCAATTATAATCCCTTTTATGTTTAGGGCATATCTACTTGTATATAAACAAGAGTGCAAGTGTGCAAGTGTCAAGCGCCCATATGTAGAAACACCACAAAGGGTAAATTTCAAAGGAACCATGAATCGGTTGATCTATAAAGGAATGCTGTTGAAGAAATTAATAGGTCTAAATATAACTAACGATCAAGGTTAAAAGACAACCTTGTGATGGATGGCATGGTTGCAAGAATACCCGCACAGGCATAAATTATAGGAACTAATGCCCTGGGCTTGTTCTTCCGGAGCCACATTAAAGATCCCAAGGCAGCAAGAGATATGGTTAAAACCTGAATACAGAGTAAAAGATATATGAGGAACTAGGTCCAGGCCCAAATAATTACCATCAACTTAAACAGAAGATGCAGTAAAACAGCTTACCAGATTAGCATTGGCTTCAAGGCCTTGCAGAATGTATTCCCATGTAAACTCTAGCCCTCTTGCTCTCACCCAGAGGGGTGCTAGTCTGTGCAGAACAGAATCAGCAAAAGCCCATCCTGAAACAAAGGAAAAATGTGGCTTGCATTAGTAATAGAAGTGGGTGAAGTGTGGTGTCAACCATGTTTTCTTGCTTGCACAAAAGAAATGCCAGTATCTCCCAAACAATAGCCTGGAATGATACAAGGAAAATAATTATGGAGAAGTATGGATTTGCCCAATGCAGATTTCTGATTTCCACTGCAGAGCTATAAACATTCAAAAGGTCAACAACCCACACTCTATGCACCAACGCCCGCCTGTGAATTGGCATCAATTCCGAGCTGGCACCTACCCTGACAGTACTTTGAGCCTACAAATTCTGACCCTGGGCTGATTGGTCATTCTCCCAAATAATTATTAGGGAAAATTTCAGTTTAGTACACTGAACGTTGGGGGTAGTGTCAAGTTAGTATCCAAACTTCAAAACGTGTCACTACCCAAACTTTTGAAAATTGTCAATTTAGTACCTGCTATTAGTAGTTCGTCAGTTAACTGATGCACGTGATGTCACATGTGATTTATAACATTCTGAAATAAAAAATTACCCTTTTAAAGAAGACACTGTTAATTGTCTTATTCCTTGAAACTGAAACTAAACCAGAGCAACGATGAACAATAACCGAATGATCAAGTGCTCTTCCACAAGTTAGCCAAGAAACAGACAAGAAACCAAAAACGATTTCCTTCCTCCAACATAAAAATTTATTAAGGTTCCAATAACAAATTGGTGGAATTATCTTTTATAATCATCGCTAAAACACTGTTTATCATCTTCTTCCTCAAGAAAATAAAACAGAGCCAAGAGAGAGAGTAGTAAGGGAGATGAATCAAGAGAGAGAGAGAGAGAGAGAGAGAGAGAGAGAGAGACTGCTCAGGACCGAATGATGTGTTAATGAATCAATAATGTATTACAATTTGTTGTTATTTTCCCTAAAAATAAACCACACAAAACACTTGAATCTGCATTCCAGGCTCCAGCTATGTTGCACCTCCACTTCATGCTTGTGACTTTCCCTGCTCAAGTCCACATCAACCCAAGCCTCCAGTTCGCCAAGCACCTCATACGCATTGGCGCTCAAGTCACCTTTGCCACCAGCGTCTCTGCCCACCATCACATGTCGAACACCTGCAACCCAAATGGCTTAACCTTTGCACCCTTCTCAGACAGCTACGACGACGGCTTCAAACCCATCAACAGCATCAAACATTTCCTGTCCGAGCTGAAACATCGTGGTTCAGAGAATCTCAGAGAGCTTATTCTCAGCCTAGCTAGAGAAGGCCGCCCCACTATTCTCAGCCTAGATAGAGCTTATTCTCCTTTCCTTTTAAAGGTGCAATCCTTTTTTTTCTATATTTCAGAACATAAACCTATATCCATTTCTCCTTTCTTCCTACCAAATCAGATATGTGATACCATGTTATTTTATGGAAATAACATTCTTGAATCCTAGGGTTCCAATTTCCCATATTATGCATGTAATGACTATAGGATGTATTTATATATGATTATAAATATTACTTTTCTGACATTTTCATATGCAACAAATCGCATGCTTCATCCGGCTTAGTAGAAACAATTGCCTTATAATAGGAAAAATGTAAGCACCGTTAGGAACTTAGGATAACAGAATATCAGTGAAAGAATTAGGCAAAAGGCACAAGCCATAATAAAGAATACCAGGAGACAGAGATAGAGGTGCAAAATCAAAGAAAAAAGGAAATAATTTTAACCCAAGAAATATGAATTACAAATGGAAGGCAAAGTAATTAGAACTCTTTTACCCTTTAGATGGTAAGTTGCCAACTGAGATAGAGATGTAAATGGACTGGAAATTGGTCCAACCCAATCTAGTTCAATATGAGTCCATTACAGAAGGACCGGGTCCAATCCAATCCAATAAATATTTTGGACTGGACTAGTCCAATTCAATGTCTTATTGGACCATCCAACCCATTCAAATTGGTTTTCATTCAGATGGGGTCCAACCCAAACCCAGTCCATTGACACCCCTAAATAGAGATTTCTAGGGGAGTCAGAAAGCAAAACTTCAGTGGCCATGTCAAAACAGCTCGCACTTTTTTCATATAAATCAAAGACAAAGTATCAAGAATCAAATATTTGCAAAATGTGAAGATATACTCACCAAGTCCAACAGCTTGAAACTTATGATTTTGAGATATGTTTCTATGTGTCAGTTGTGTCAATGCAAAATAAAGCCCAGCAACATCTATAAACCCAATTAAAGCTTTCAATAGTTCCTGAAAAAATGATGGTCATTACAATTTGTACAGCATATTTTCCTAATAGGATATCGACTCTTGCATGACCTCATACACCAAGCATTGAAGTAAGTTTCAGTATGGGACATTAGAGACAACAACCACTTGAAAAGAGTTCAGAGATTCAATGCTAAGGAAGTCTGAAGAAAAGGAAGGAAATTGATTGATTTGCAAAGACACTAACCATATAGACCACAAGATTGACTAACCATAGAGAAGGTAGAGAAACTTTACGCAGTGTAGAAACGAAGGAAACAAATGAGACAGCTCATGCAAATATATCCAATTTCAGATGATAAAAGACACATCAAGAATATATAAAAGTTGTAACAAGTAAAAAAAATACCCACATGATACAATCTCCTACCATTAGTATGCATGTGGTTTACTCCTTAAAAACAGTTCCAGGTTTCAAGGCTGAAGAAGTTCGAAGAAAATGAAATGAAATTGTTTGACACATTAGCAGGGTATAAAAGGGGCACAAAAGAGGCAGCCTGTGCCAATACACCTCAACAATGTCATAAAAGCCATAACAAGTAAAGAAAACCTTTTTTTTTATCAGCAACACAGAATAGATTTCATTGATTAGAATTAAAAATGGTTACAACAAGAAGCTGTGAAACCCAGCTTTAGAAAGTTGACCCAAAACCAAATTACAATTGAGCCCAGAACAGATGTGTTCTTTGTACCCCTTGCTTAGCTAATCTATCTGCCAAGCTGTTTGCAGTTCTTGTCACCCACCTCACTCGGATTGACATGTCCTTTGAGAGCCATTTAAATCTTCTGAATTCATGTCACAACTGCCATGTCACCCCCTCACCCTTTTGCAGCCATTTTATCACAGTTTTCGAGTCTCCCTCAATAATCAGTCTGTTAATACCCAGCTCTTTTGCCTTTTCAAACACATATACTGCAGCCAGAAACTCTAACCTTGCCACATCACCTTGTCCCACATGACCCGAGTATAGAGCTCGTATACATCTCTAATGACCCCCCCCCCCCATGCCTGAGGGGCCCAGATTACCCACACAACTCCCATCAAAGGTCAGCTTCTTCCAGCCATCTATAGGGGGAGACCAAGTCTCAACAGATTTCTGTCTTGTAGATGAAGAGGTGGCAATAACACCCTAAGCCCTGAAGAAATCTTCAACCTTAAAATATGAGAACAACTTTATGCTTTTTGCCCAGTTTTCCACTCTCAGAGTTATTGTTTCAATCAAAGATTCCTTGCTTTTTTCTCTTCAAATATTCTTGCATTTCTTTCCTCCCAAACAGTCCACAATAGTGCTGCTCTAGTACACCTCTACAGGATCTTGCCCCTTCTTTTAGTGCAACTAATGCCGGTAGGGCTAAATAAGCTATCCAACCTGTTAGGGAAAAACCACCTGCAACCAAAGAGGGAAGCAAACCAATTCCAAATAAAGCTAACAAAAGGGCAGGAGATCAGAAGATGAAATGCAGTCTCACCATTCAACTTACACAGGACACACCAGTTAGGGGACAAACACCAAGTTGGTCTTTTTCTTTGAAGTAGAACATAAGTATTAAAACAACCATGAAACACCTCCCAACAGAAAGCACTAACTTTAGGGGGAATGGGAGAGTACCAAATTTCCTTGACTGGGAAAGGAGAAGAGGAGGCGGCTACCAAAGACTATAAGAAGGATTTACAAGAAAACAACCCATCAGAATTAGGGCCTCAAACCCTAAAATCTGATCCACCTTCTCCCAAGAACACTGAATCATATTACCCCATGGAAATAAACCTGCCATTAGTATACATGTAATCTACTACGTAGTAACTTTATTGGAATTTTAACAATTTAACAAATCATATTACCCCATGGGAAGTTTAGCTTAGCAAACAATGAATGGGAGACTGGTGAACCTCTCATCTCTTATTGGATAGGGGTTTTGAAGGAGGACTAATGAAATATAAGGAAGTTTCTGTTGGCAAGGTGAAATTGAAGCCTGGAAGAGGTGATAGGACTTTCTTTTGGAAGGACACTTGGTGCTTTGATCAGCCTTTATGCGAGGTGCACCCTTCTCTCTTCTCCATTGCAACAAACAAGGAGGCTTGTCTATCAAACTGCTATGAAATTCAAATTCCAGGTTTCATGTGGTGTAGAATCCTACATTTTGGTGAAATTTGAATGATTGGGAGGTGGAGGAGCTTCGTTCTTTGTTTTTGAGGCAGATTGAGTTTCATCCAGTCCATGTAGATAGTGATATAAGAGTTTGGGTCAATGGGGAATGGTGTTGGGGTATAACAAATGTTTATGAGCCGAATACAAAAGGGGAGAGGGCTGACTTTTGGGAAGAGCTAGAAGGGTTGAGGGGGATGTGGGATGGGCCTTGGTGTATAGGAGGAGATTTCAACGTTGTAAGGAGGGGGAAGATGAAAGGGGGGAAGGACAGGAGGACAAATGTAGGGATGAGAAGGTTTGGGAATTTATCAGTAAGTGTGAGATTACTGACCCACCTCTGAATGGTGGCAGGTTTACATGGTCAAATGGACAAGTTCCAGTAGTCCTTAGAAGGTTGCACAGATTCCTATTCTCAAGGAATTGGGTGGAGTATGTGGGGAAGTGGTGCAAAAGGTACTCACAACAAGCATGTCAGATCATAAACCGATATTTCTACAGAATTTTGTTGCTATAAATGCAGTTAGGCCTTTCAGATTTGAAAATGTTTGGTTGCATGAACCAAACTTTTTGGAGTGGGCAGAGGAGAAGTGGAGAAATATGCAAGTTGAAGGCTTAGTTGGGTTCAAGTTGGTAAGGAAGCTGTAGCTTCTGAAAGAAGAAATCAGGAGCAGGAGGTTGGAGGTATTTGGGAGAACAGAGAGCAGAAAAAAGGAGGTGCTAGAAAAGACGGCAAGGCTGGACAAGCTGGAAGAAGAAGGGATGTTGACGAGGCAGGCTTAATTGGAAAGGAAAGAGCTAAAAGGAGAGTTGGAAGGGATTATTTTAAAGAAAAAAATAAGTTGGAGGCAAAAGTCAAGGGTTATTTGGCTAAAAGAGGGGGATAAAAATTTAGCATACTTCCATGCTTTCACAAGTGCTAGAAGGAGAAGAAACCTTATATAAGATTTCAGGTGGGGGAGGAACTGGTGGATACTAGGGAAGATTGAAATTAAGGAAATAAGAGACGCCATGAAAAAGATAAATGGGGATAAAGCCCTAGGGCCAGATGGGTTTAATTTAAACTTTATTAAGGTTGACTGGGGTTTCTTGGAAGAAGACATTGTACAAATGATCAAGAAGTTTTGTGATTTGAAAGAACTTGATAGAAGAATTAAATAATGCCACCATTATTACACTGATTCAAAAGAAAGATGAAGCAGCGAATATAAAAGATTTCAGGCCAATAAGCCTGATCAACAACCCTTACAAGCTATTGGCTAAGGTGTTGTCCAAGAGATTGAGAGGAGTAATTCATTGGGTGGTGGGAGAAACCTAAATGGCATTTGTGGAAGGAAGGCAAATTTTGGATGGGGTGCTGGTGGCTAGTGAATGTCTTGACTCTAGACTAAGGAGTGGGAGACTCGGGTTGGTGTATAAAATTGATATTGAAAAAGCTTATGACCATGTGGAGTGGGGTTTCTTGGAAGAGATGCAAACCTATGAAAGGAACATCCAAGAGGGGAGAAAAATTTTGATACAAACTCCTTTTTATACTCAGAGACAGAGAATAAGGAAGGGAAGATGTCCTTCAAAGGAACATCTTTGACCCAAGTATCCTCCCAAAAGAGGATGGAATTGCCAGCACAGACATCATACTAACAAACCTATGAAATTGAGGAAGAATGCCATGAATCGTTTTCCACAGTGTTGCCAAGGTTGTATGTCGAGATACTCCAGCATCCCACCCATTCTCTGAGCGACCATGAATACTTTTGACCACTTCATGCCATAATCTCCCTCTCTCCAAGGGCCACCACCACAGCCACTACTCCAATAAAGTTGTATTCTTTTGAAACAAGTTCCCTTATCCAAAGTCCCCCTCTTCTTTACTCCAACACGCCACCTCCCACTTTATCAAATGGTTGCTTCCTATCCCCCCCCCCCCCCGTTCCCAAAGAAAATCTCTCATCAGCTTGTCCAATTTCTTGGTTTCCCTAGGAAGGATCCTAAAGATAGACAAGAAATAGGTTGGTAAGTTATCAAGTGTGGCTCTTATCTAAGTGATTCTACCCCCAACAAAATGTAATTCTTTTTCTACAAGGTCAATTTCTTTTCAAACCTCTCTACCATTTTGAACCAAAAACCACTTTCCCTAGGGTTTGCCCCTAGAGGAAGCCCCAAATAGGTCATGGGCCAAGAAGAAATGGAGCACTCTAAAAATCTTGCAATAGCCTCCACCTCACTAATCTCCAAATTGACACCTGCTACACAACTCTTTCCAAGATTGATTCTCACATTGGACAACCTCTAAAAGCTTCTAACCAACTCCTTAAGATTTCTCACCTTCTCAAAATCACCCTTGTCATAGAGAATTAGCATGTTATCTGCAAATTGAAAATGGATGACTAGAATACCATCTCTACCTATTCTCCACCCCTTTACTACATCTTCCCTGTCAGCCTTTGAGATCATTCTACTAAGCACATCAGCTATTAGTGTCATAATGTGAGGAGAAAGGGTGATAGAGGGCTCCCTTGGCTTACACCTTTACATGCTGGGAAGAAATCCTTCACCACTCCATTGACCAAGATAGAGTAATGCCAAGAACTAATATAGAAAAAAAATCCAATTACACCACTTGTCTCCAAAGCCACATTTTCTCAATACTTGTAGAAGGCAATGCCAGTTCACTAGATCACAAACCTTTTCCAAATCCATCTTACAAACAAAACCTTTTCTTTTAAATCTTCTCATATCCTCTACACACTCATTAGCAATCAGAATTTGGTTTATTATTTGTCTCCCTTGTACAAAAGCCCCTTGGGCTTGGCTAATTAAGGAAAGGAGAACTGCTTTAAGCCTCAAAGACAAAACATTAACTAAGATTTTGTAGATACTAGTCACCAAACTAATTGGTAAAATCTTTAGGGTGATTAGCATCAGGCTTCTTAGGAACTAAGGTCAAAAAAGTGGCATTGACTCCTGGAATCACTATGTGGTTATCTGCAAATTCCTTAAGAGCATCACATAAATCATCTTTCAATACATCCCAACAATCTTGATAGAAAGCCATTGCAAAACCATCTAGGCCCAAGATCTATCCATCGTGAACACTACCCTCTTGATCTCCTCTTGATCAACTCAATCTGGGTTCATTTCCTTAAAGTTTTCAACACAAGCTGGGTGATACCCCCTGGTTTGGCCTCTTTGCTTGCCTCTTGGCCCAAGCCAGGTTTTTTCGCTAAAGGGAAAATTCTTTGAAAATTGCTCCCCTTGGCCCTTTGCTGGGAGTGTGGAAGGAAAGAAACAGCAGAATTTTTGAAGACAAGGCGGCGCCTATCAAAGTAGTAATCAGCAAAGTTGAATGGTTATTGGTTCTGTGGGCTTAGGTTTTAAAAGCTTTTGAGGATATACCCTATTACGACTTTTTGAATAGTTGGAGTTCTTTAGTTTTTAATTCTGAATCACAGGATGTATGGTGGGGTTCATTGATTACACTTGTAAAGCATTTTGTGCATGCTAAAGGTGCCCAGCTTGCCCGCCTTTTTTGAATGAATATACACATTTCATCTGCTTATCAAAAAAAAGAAAGGTCCTTTATATACCCCCTCTCTAGAGATGCATGAAATTTCCAATATAGCTATAGAAGGGCTGTGCAACATCTTATGAACATAAAACTGTAGGGTAAGGCATGGTAACACATTAGTTAAATTATCAGAACAACAATTCCCAGTTGGAATCTATTCACCATTGACCAAATATGTTACCTAGTTTGACTTCTGTCACTTCTTAGCTCTAATAATCTGACAAAAGCCAATTACCAATCTTTCAACATTTTCAATTTTATCAACTACGTGATTTCTGAGACTGATATCTGAAGAATTTGTTTAGGATAGAATTCTTTAAGTAACTACCAACTACCCAACTCAACAGTTTTCATATTCAGTCTAAACAGGTTTTTGTGGAATGACAGATTTATCTGGTCACCTTTTTAGTTGGGTATTTCTGGATGCAACCTCACCAACCCATTGCCAACCTTAACATCATTTTTCCTACTGATACTGATCCACCCAAAAGAACAAAAGAAACCTTTTTCTTCCTTTTGACCTTCACTCGTGTTATAAAATAGATCCCGGATATTATCTATTTGTCATAAAAAAATGTTCTTATCTCCAGTCATGGCCTCCCATTTTCCTGCTTCCATAACTATCTGCGGAAAAACAGCATAAAAACATTTTGCAGCCAGTGGAAACGAACAAACACTGAAGCTCCAATTCGCTGTTATGTCTTTTCTGGAAGCTACAAGAAATGATCCTTCAAGCATTCTTAAAGAGTGAATTTCTGTTTGCTATGCTGCCCAGAAAGTCAGCAACATGAAAGTTTTGAAGATTGTGTAACAGTCAATATATGTATTAAAATTGTCTACCAACATATTTTCATATATTCTCATTTTCTTTTTTCCACCTGAGTTTATAGAAGTCAGCTTTCCATAAACATACTTTACAAATCATATTTACTTAGGCTGATTCTAAGAGAATACATCATTCATGCTCCAACATAAGCTGAAACCCTACAACTCTTATTTTCTCCTTTGACCCAATCAGAACCAAAACCATTCTTTGACTTCATAAACCATAAATGTGCAGAAATCAAGCCATCCTTACATTACAGATATAGAAATTTTTCAACATCATTTTTCATCTGAATAAGTAAATAAAAATAGATCAAAACAGAACAAAAACTGCAAGTAGTGAGTACTAATATTATTATTTTCTGAACCTTCCAAACACACATGTGCAAGCTTCTAAATCAACCTTAAAGAAAATAAATTAATAATTTCAAGATTCCAGTAAGAAAATGTGAACATAGAAAATGCAAAATTAAAGTGGTTCTTTTGTGCAAACTTCTAAATCAACCTTAAAGAAAATAAATTAATGATTTCAAGATTCCAGTAAGAAAATGTGAACATAGAAAATGCAAAATTAAAGTGGTTCTTTAAAAAGTCAAAACCTGATATGGATCAAAACTGTCATTCTCAGGTACTTTGAGAAATGTTGCCAGACACACAAGCTGCCAATATAAATAAATAAAATCATAACAACATTGAAGAAATTGTATCACACACATCAAAGCATAAGAAGTAACATTAAGATGTGTTGGGAAAGATAGTTTATGAGTAAAGAAGAACATGAGACAAATGATGCAGGACAAAAGATGGTCGGACATTCAATCTAGATCAAGTTTTGGCAGTTCTACAAGCATGGATTAAAACCATAGTTGACTACACAATGCATGAAGTAGATTTATTTCAGGAAATCAAATTAAAAAAAAAAAAGAAATTAAAAAATCTAGAACACCTTGGAGCCTTGAATGCAGTAGCTTGGGCTTTCCTTAAAATGTCACCATGTGATATGTAGCAAAAAGGGAAGGTATCTTTTGTCAGGATTTAAGATAAAACATTTCTACTGCTGCAATTACTTCTCCCTCCCCCCTTCCTTTAATAAACATTTTCCTTAGTTTTGTAGGAGAATTTCTTTTTTTTTAATCTCTTTTTTTGTTTTTGCATCATAATACAATTCAAGTAATGAAATATAGGTCTGTCCAATCAAAGCCACGTCAGAACATTATACGAGCTTTCATGAAAACACTGCATCAAATCTTGTTTGTGACTTCAAAGCTTAACATCCAAAAATTTGAATTTCTCTGGATTTAGGTATTTTGAAGGGATATTGTGGAGCTCTTATAAGGAATGCATACAAAAAATTACAGCAGAGTGAAATGAAGACAAGAGAAACTGGTTTTGTTTCAACAAAGTGATGGAAGAATTATTGAATCTTAAAAGGAAAGAACCAAGCTCTACATTTGACTGACCAAGTAGGTACCAGGTATGATTATACAAGTTTCATTTCATCCCCCTCCCCTCCCTCTTTGTCTTGTGTTAGACCTGAGAGCTTTTCAATATGGGAGGGAAAAATGAAAAGAAGCAAATCCAGAATTGCAATGGAATATTCAGAGAGAGATAGAGAGAGAGAGAGAGAGTATATATGAATTCTTTGTTCAGTGCAGCCAAGGTCAATTAAACAACCAGTCAAATAACCCAGCCTACAAGTTACTGTGAATGGGTTAAACTAAAAACAAGCTTAAAGGTCCTAAGTGATAAAATGCTTAGCAGTGCAAACTAAGAATTAACATTGATCTGACAACAAAAAAATTATAGGTATAAGTTCTTGATAATTGCTAATGCTTGAAACAAACTAAATAGGATGTCATAGAATGTCAGATTAAAAGACTCCATGAGTGACGCCAAAAATTGAGAGTTCTCACGAGAGACCAGTGACACTTCATGTTTACAACCAACCTTAACTAAAGCTGTCCCAAGATATACAGTTGCGGCCTTAACGGAAGTACCAATTGTATCATACTCGGATCTGCACAAATGTAGTCAACACAAAGTCAATGTAACAGTTGAAACCACAGATATACAAAAGACCAATAGCTTCCGGAACACTTCCCAAGCGCAGTCTTGAAATTTTATCAACGAATGTATACCAAAGACAAAATCACAAAACGTCTTTCTAAGTTCCCTTTATTTTTGTCTACAAGGCAACCATGACTATCAGCGAAGGCCCTAGAAGAACCGTATGAGAGTTCGAGGAGATTCAAAAAGAAAAGAAGAATAAAATGAATTAAAATCATGTATAGTCAAATCCACCAGATAGAAGAAGCAAAATTTGATAAATGATATTTGGTTCCAACTCTATAACTTGGGAAGTAATTCCTCCGAAACCCGAGAGCTAGGTTAAGTTTGGTTTGATGTATGGAAGATCTATAAAAAGTATTGGAAAAGAAAGGGACTTACAATGGCGTCGCCGAGTAGTAGACGGCGTGAGGACCGAACGTAAGAATTGCGCAGTTGAAGAAGTGAAACACGGTCATCTTCCTCCTCCTCCTCCTCCTCTCTCTCTCTCTCTCTCTCTCTCTCTCTCTGTTAAGGAGGTTCGAGCAGAAGACAATGAATGTAGTTATGTAGAGATAATCCCAAATTCCGAAGTTCTATTTGACAGAGAACGGAGAACAAACGAACTTCTATTGCAGAATTCAGAAGGGAGAAACAGAAAACCTTAGAGGGGTGTCCACGGTTCGGTTACCGAACCATGGACAAATTTTTGAAACCGACCGGTACCACCGGTTAAGCAGTCCGCCGGTTTTGAATTTTGAGCGGTTCGATTTTTTGGTTTTTTATATTTATAATATATTATATAAATATACATAATATTATATTATAAATAATAAATGATATATAATATATTATAAATATTATAAAAATATATAATATCTATAATATATTAATTAATAAATAAATTATTATAAATATAATATATGTATATAGAAAATATGTGATATATATAAAATATACATATAAATATATATACCGGTCGATTTGATTAACCATCCGTGTTTTTCTAAGTTAATCAAAAATCAAACCGATCTTTCGGTTTTTTAAAAATACCAAACCAAAATCAAACCGATTAATTCAATTAACCGCATTTTCTGATTCAATTTTCTCAGTCCGATTTGATTTTTCGGTTTTTTGGTTTTTTATGGACACCGGCTTAGATCCCGTTCGTTCGACAGAAGGTGCAACTGAGTCCTGATGCATTCCCAAGTGGACCAGACCTCGTCCCGGGTTCTGATATTGGGCCTGCAGGAACTATGAAAATTAGACCCATTAATTACATGATCATCAATTCATCATTCATGAAAGTAGATGAGCAGGTGGAGTGGGAGTAAATTGCTGCGGTTGTACAGTAAAGCCGACATCCATGGAGAGTAAAATGCATCAAGGAAGCCCCCATCGACCTTTTTCAGGCAGGTCTGGTCAGGCCAGCGTGATACTTGTACTGTTGGTTGAACAACTTAACGACAATATTGCTCTAGCCTGTGGGCCAAAGTTGGATCCAGTTCTTTTCACCCAATAGCCCCCAGACTATCTCAATTGGGTTGTGGCTTGTGGCCTCAGTCTGAATCTAGCATGTGGATTTTTTTTTTTTTCTTTTCACAAGTAGCAATATGACACCAAATGAAAAGAAAAAGAGTCCTACTTTTACTGCATTGATGCATGGTCTTAAATAATATACTAATTTTCAAAAGAATTAGGGTCTGTTTGATTTGCAGTTAGAATCGGAATCAGAATTCATCAAAATCTGAATCAGAATGATCTATTCACATATTCTCTTTGGTATAAATTGAAATCAGAATGGGAATTAGAATCAGTTGGAATGAGTGAATCCGTTCCCTCAAATGAGGGAGAGGGAATGACATTCCAATTCCATCAAACCAAATTATTGTTGGAATCGGAATGGGCGAATGGCCCATTCTGTTTCTGATTCCAAACCCCTATTCCCGTGAACTAAATGGGTCCTTACTTGCAGAAATGATCAATAAAGAGAGAAGTTGAGAACACATCCAGAGAGAGGGGGGCTGATGGATGACCTTAAAATTCAAGAGCCCATATAACAATACATGCCTTGAGGACAATAACAACTGTAGCAAACTCATCCCATCATCCAATATAATCCAGAAAGATCTAAGCCAAACATACCCCTACCAAAATTCATTCACGTCAAAAGAATAAAAATCTGCATCTCATATACGCAACAGCAGCCACAGGTGATTCCGTCATAGGCCCATGTCGCCCAGTCGCCTGGGTCAGGCTTATGAGCCCAGTAAGGAAACGAGATCACTTGACTTGGATTCGCCATATCTCCAAAAACATCAATAAAGGGACGTGCCAACCAACCCACTACAACTAGTCTAACGGACACTCATTATATGGAAGACTGATAAATGTACCTTTTTTGCTTTTCACTGTTATATTGGATGTGAATTAAGTAGGCCCATGACTGGGTCCATTCTATTTGAAATTTTGCTGATGCCCATGATACCTTTTCTCATGTTTGGGCTGGACCCCTTTTAAGGAATAGGCCATTGGATTAATCAATACTGATCTTCCAGATTTAAAAGGCCCACAGTGATTAATGCATTGAAATGTTTTCAATGCATGGCTACAATGTGCTATGAGTTTGGTATAAGGCATGCTAGGAGCAAATCCGAATCCTTTCGCTATTGTCAAACTCTTTTAGATGGATTGAAGAAGACCAATGTCTAAGCCTAATTGAGATATAACGTATTAACTGCTCATGGTCAAATGTGTAAAGCAGTACTACGGTTGTGCATTCTTTCAAGCATCAAACATTGCAGTTGTTCATGTGTCACCATCTGCACAAGTTCTGTCGGCAACCATTTTTTTTTGGCTTTGATAATTATGAAAAATGCCTTTTTGAATACACACTAAAAAGAATGCAATTGCAAATAATAAACAGAGAAGAGAAATTCATAGATTTAGATTCAATTTGTAGGTTTTTTTTTTTTGTATAAGGCTAGTTCTTCAGTTAATTGAACAATTGTTCATACAGTTGTTCATTTTACGGTTGCCTTCTTGGATAATTAACTGATGGACCCTAATGTCACAAAAGGCTGAGAATTCAAGGTAGAAGACAATGAACTGTGCTTTTTTTTTAAAGGGTAGTTTTGATATTTTCAACAGATAACTAACGATCGATTAATGGTAGGAACCAATTTGATACTTCTTGAAAGTTTAAGTACTGCAGTGACATGTTTAAAAGTTCGGGTACTAACTTGACACTATCCCCAAAGCTCAAGTAGTAAAGTGAAAATTTTCAACAAAAAAATCTATAATATCAGCTTGTAATGGCCAATATTTATGTTATAAAATAAAGAATGATGATTGATAGTAAGATCTGATTGACGAAATTAGAATCCCTAATGTCGACCTACAAGGTCATAATGAATCCACAGTATGCTAGCCAATGAAAATTTCACTTAATAGCCATTATTGAATGAGAGTGTATTTTGCTTTTCTCTTCTGCTTTACGAAAATAAGGTTAAGCCTAAGGTAATCATTAGTTAAATGACTCCAATTTGGTTGCTTCTCCCTTTGAAGTTAAGAAACAAATCCTATATCAAGTCATAGACACATAGACCCAATTATAGGGTTTCCAGTTTCCCCTGCTTAGACAAAACTTTGTTTCAGGCCCATCACAAGGAATGATAACAAGATATCGTTTTGGGCTACCTAAGTTTGACTTCGTGAACTTCCGATTTGTTCCTTCTCCCTAATCAATTAGCTCTATGAACGTAGAATGAGTCGGGGCAAAAGCAAAATATGACGCAAGAACAAGATTCGAGTGTTAGGCTGTGTTTGGTTGCAGTTCAAACTTATTTGCACTAGTATAAATGCATGGGAGTGTAAATGTAAAAAATATAAATTTTTATTTAATTTTGTTTTGGATTTTACTTTATTCTGTTTAATGTCTTAACTTACTTTATTTGTGATGCAAAATCAAACAAAATAAGCTAAAATTTGAAATAAAAATAGGTCAAATTTTACACTCAAATCATTTACACTGCCATGGTTTTGCATTAATGCAAATTTATTTGCATTGCAACCACACAGCCTTAATGAAAAATAAAGACAACATTTTTTTTTTTTGAGGGGATTAGTCTGAGCCATCATCTCTGGGGCATGTCGGTAGTCTAACATCACTAGGTGTTTTGACTCAGATGCCCCTATACATTTGCTCTGTTGTTCAATTACAATATTTCTTAACTTGGGGAAAATATATGAACTAGTAAGTGTTAAATTTAATAATTAATATGTTAGTGTTTTTTACATGTCTTAATTAAATAATTAAAAATTATATTGTTTCTTCATGTCATTTTACTTATTTATTGCTTATATATAATAAAAAATTATATGTGGATTATAAACACAACCCATCTTACACTTGAATGTGAGGAGGGTAGGGTCCAGGAGGGCTATGCATTTTATATGCGATAAGGGTTTAGATTCTCAAAATCCAACCACTACGGATTTTAAAGTGAATACAGGTTGGGTGGTTCGGGAAAATGGATAAGATCTAGAATTTAGACAATCCTTCTCAAACCCACCCATTGCCATCCTTATCTGCACTGCATTGTGTTTTGGTTTACTACAACAGATGTTGGTCGAGATGGACACCTACAGATTAGGGCTGTTCATAAGAAGGCCCAACCCGACCAAATCGACCAACCTGGACCGACCCAACCCGAGTCGGCCGGGTTTTCATCAACACTAATCGGTTTCGGGTTGTACAAATTCATAAACCGATGGTTCAGATCGGTTTCGGTCTTCTTGTGTGAAAATCGAAACGGACCCGAACCGAACCGACTTAGTTCCTACTTAACTAAAAACTGAAATATCTAAAAATATATATTCCAATATCTATATCTAAAAAATATATATTATRAAATATGTCAGATATATATTTCCAGAAAATATATATTCCAATATATTTGTATGTATATTTTTGTTTATATATATATATATATATATTTCTAAAATACATATTTCAGTTTTAAATATATTTCCAGAAAACTAGGTGGCCATGGGGGGTATGGATGAACTTAGAGCCGAAACCGATCCAAACCGACTCAACCTGACTCAAATCGACCAAGTCGGTTTTGCTTAACACTTGATCAGTTTCAATTTCCATCTCAGATAACCTGACCAGATCGGATCGGTTGAAAAAACTTCACTAAACCAACCCACCCCAACCCGTAAACAGCCCTACTACAGATTCGAAGACTGTCTAATCTCGTCAGTTCCTATCCCTTTGAATAATTCTTATTCCTAGCGTTTAACTTTATTGTATTCTCCATGACCTCACATGGTTTATTGATTATTATTTTACTCAGCACGCTCTTTTAACTCCACGCCCGTCTCACTCGTCCTTGCAGCTTCATAACTGATCAGAAGTTAATATAGAAATCTGACTCTAATAACCTATACAACTAGAAGCAGGTGATTAATTGTTGACCTTATGCTAAGTTTGAAAGTGATTAAAAATAAGATTTTATTTGAATAAGCTTTTATTTTGAGTGAGATCATACTAATAACTATTTATTTGCATTTGGGAAATAAGTTTGAAAATGTTTTTTTCTAAGAATAAGTATTTATTTGAAAAATCTAAAGCTACATTTGGA